CTTACTGTACTGTCACTAGCACTATATCACAGATGCTCAAGAAGAAGGGGGCTTGGCAATTTCATATTATTTATTTGTGCAGACAGTATTACAACCTGGATACTCCACTGTAAGAAGTAGAGACTATCTCTGGTAATTGTTCATTTTGTGTAAGTTTCTTTACCTTCCTCATTTTACAGTGATGAGTTTTATCACCCTCCAATGGTATTTTTCTTTGGGGCTTTGGATGACCAAGGTTGACATCTCTGATGTTTATTTTCACATTCCCATCTCCCCAGCATCCAAACTTTATTTTTTGTCTGTACATCAGGGTTTAGTTTATCATTTCTGAGCTCTTCATTTTAGCCTGGCCATATGTTCTTTTTTGTAGCATAGTGTGTACCATCAAATGTCACATTCATGCCTTGGGATTGAGATTCCACCATTATATGGACAACAGGATTATTCTAACCATACTATTCTCTTTTTTTTGTGAGGTGGCTAGCAATCTGGAAGAGTCTCATCTCACCCCCACCCAGTATCTGGTTTATTTGTGTAGGTTCTTCACTTCCTATCTTAACAGGGCACAGCCTTACTCTTCTGCATTTTTGAGAAATGTAGGGTTTGGTTTCCACAGCTCTATCCTCTCCTTTTCTTTCTGTGTGAAATGTTCTCTATCTGTGGGAGATTTTGCCTTCTTTGGAACCTTTTATCCTCTTGAGTTGTGCTCACATGCATCTTTTTTGTAGACTCTATATGATCAATGGAACCTGTCTCAGGACCCCTTTTCCAGAGTGGGCTCTCAGTCTTCTTGTTTTTCAATGGCTTTGCTCTCATCACTATTCTCATTGATGTCTTTGCCACTTGCAACCCTATTTGGGTCTCCTGTTCCTCATATATTGGCACTGGTGGTGAATGCATTCAGTCAGGAATGGTCAGATCTCTTTCTTCGTGCTTACTATCCCATTCATCTCCTCCCTCAAGGTCTCTCCCTCAGTTGGGGTACTACTTGTTAGGTCCTTCTTGTGGTTTTCTTTGCTGAGCCTTCTGACTTCCTCCCCTCCTTCTCCTATACCACTCTCCCTTTCACTTCTTCAGCCTCATAGTTCTCTCTTCTATCCAGTTGTGTCATCACTCTGGCTTCACATGTGGAATTTCTCCAGTCAGGACTCTTCCTGTAGCATTCTTTCTGTCCCATCCACTTTAGAAGTTTATCAACAGAAGTGGTGTATTTATTACTGCTGGTCTCATCATCAATCCTTCTCACCTTGTCATCCTTCTGTTCCCCATCTATCTGTGTTATTCTCATGGCTTTTTGACTGGGGCTTGTCTGTTTCAACTTTATCTGGTTACTAGGCAGCTCTCTTGACTACTTTCCAGTTCTACTGTTACATTGTTTTTTTTCCCTCCCCAGCTCTTCTCATTTGTCTAGCTTACCTGACTGGTTTCTCAACCCTTTTGATGCAAAGTTAAATTTCAGGCTGGTTCCTGAAAAGTGTCAATTATCCACCAAAAAATTATGTTAGGAATTTGATATTTTCTAGTCCTTTTTCAATATCAGAAGGAGATGATATATTTTCTATATCTGGCACAACAATTCCCTGATGTACACGCAAATGCTGAACAGAAAAAATCATGTGACAAAGGATGAACACTGACTTATTACATTCATTTTACCAACTCATTACAATGTTAGATAATAGGGGCTATAATACTGAATATATATTTAAGATATACTATATAACAGCAGTAATATATCAATAAAATTAACCTCACATCAATTATGGTGTTGCTCACAGATGGCGGCACCATGGAGATGTGGCATGGTTGTCAAGGGCATAAGGGTATTCCTACTTGTCGCAGTGGAAGGAAAGGTTTTTGTGAAGCTTTGGGGTATATCCCCTTGTCACATCATTAAGGTTAATGTTGTTTTCCATTACCTCTACCTCCCTTTGAACCTTTAGCTTCCTGTTTCTTTTTGTCCCATTTGTCCCTTAAAATTTATTTCCTCCTCGTCACCTGTGGCTGTTGGTGTTCCGATGTGTATGCTATCTATTTTTCTTGCATTCTGTTACATTGCCCTTATATCCTTCTCTATCTATTGTTATTTTGCTTGCACTTCTTCTTTCCATGGAATTTTTCATCCACTTGAAATTTTTCTGTTACTCTCATTGAATGGGTTTAGCAGCTTATCCATTTAGTGTAGTATTCAATGGATGGAGAAGCATGGAGATGTTTCCAAGTGTCCTCTCATCAAATTTATCAGCCAACTCACTCATTGGTTGCTCACTGCCATTGTCTGTTGTTCAGGCTGGTATGTGGATGACCCTCACATTTTTTTTCACACACTATTTCCATCCTATGGCCATCTCTTCTTTGTTTGGTCATGGACTGCTCCAGTCACCATTCTTCACAAATCATTCCTCTTTGACTGGGTAATTTATTTCTTCTAATCCTCTTCTTACAGAGTCCTATAGTCACTTATAGAATTTTGCTGAGTGGCAAGTGTTGCCTGCCAGGGTATATTTAACCAAAATCTGCATAGTGTAGGGCCTTCCTGGTCTGATACAGCACTCACCCATGAGATGACTGCTCAAAGTATCCTTGTGGTGCTCATTTTTCTAAAAAAAGGCCTGATCCAAAGTGTACCCATTTGTGGGCTAGGATGAGTAAAGCAGGCATAGCTTTCCTTCCAAGCCTCCATGCCTAATTTAAAACCTAGTGCTGACCTGCTATTAAAAACGTTTTTTTTTATTACCCATTGTACTGTCTTTCTGTAATGCAATCTTCTAGACTCCCTACCATGCTTTCATCCCCCATTGTTTCTTCTAGTAGAGCATGGGAGTCCTTGCCACTCACCAGTTCTTAGCTGCTGGAATGGTGGACCATGGAGGATACCTCCTGAGTGTAACCAATTCCACTCAGTAGAGATTAGGGAGGTGGTGTCCTGTTCATGTAGTACAGATTACCCCCTCTGGCAGAGATTCCCTCATTCACTGCTACCTGGAAGTTTTGTCCCCAGGTGATCTGGCGATGGATTGACGCAGGAACAGCCAACATAAATCTTCACTCAGTTTCAGGGCCCCACCAGATTTGATGTGAGGACAGTAGGGATTCCTGTCTTACCAAGTTCTGGATACCAAATTCATGGTGCTGCCTGGTTATGAACCTGAGTTGACCCATCACGTACGGTTTGATGTACTTTAGCCACAGTACATATAAAGCACTTCTGAAAGCTTGATACAGGTTTTGAACTGTACTTGTATCTTCCGCCCTTCCTTGCAACACTTCCCTTTCTTTCTGGGAGAAAAGTGTACCCTTGTTCAGACAAGGTGTGGTCTCCCATGACTGTGCCCCTGTATTGTTCCAAGGTATAGGGTGTCACACTCCATTGATTCTCTTTGGGCACATTCTGAAGGGTGCTCATCTAGGTAAAATTTTGCATCAGTTCCTCCACCATTTCAATTTGGGATTTTAGCTAGATGTGAGGAGAGGTTATGTATTGTATTGGAAATTAATATTTTCCAACTCTGAAAATGTATTTCCAATAGATACTTGTCTCCTCTCACACTTCCCCCCTTCCAGTGCATCCTACTTTTTTTGCCTATTGTCAAAGATATGATATAACAATCAGTGTTTAAAATTGTGTTTTTGATTACTTGTTACAATTATTTTACTTTAATTAGCTCTGCATAGGCTAGTGATCCATATAATCTTGTTGCTGATACCAGATTTGTAAAGGATATATGTATGCATACAAATGATAATTCTGGATTTTGCCACGTAGGTGTGAGAACTATTCTCAAATAAACACAATGTTACGTAACCAGTTAGAAGAAGCTACTCAAGCTAATCGAATTTTAACTGAGGATGTTCAGCGGTTAACCCAAGAGTGGCAGAAGACCAGAGAAGAACTAGACATCAAAGAAACAGAATGGAGAGATGAAGAACAGGTTGGTGCTGTGAAAAAGAAGAAAAAAAGTATATTTTGTTTCAATTATTGTATTATTATTATAAAACCATTGAGATATTTTTATATACAAGTTTGAGCACTAAAATGCCTTACATTGGCTTTCTTTACTTGCAACTAATATATATATGGAGTGTTTTGAGATGCTACACTGTCAATTATATCTTCAAATCATCATTCACCACTTTTTGTCCACATCATCTTGTGCTACCACTCATTCATGTTACTACTTCAATCGAGTTATGATATTCTTGAGATATTTCTGTTTCATCTTTTTTTTTGGCTCCTGTTACTTTGGAGGTTTTTGGTCTTCTTTTATTTTACCTTTTTTATTACCTCTTTCAGCACAGGCTCGGTCCCTGGGACCGATCTCGTAACTATTTTGTGCATGTTATATTTGTGTGCTATAACTTTTAAATCAATAATCGTATGTTCATGAAATTTGGCAGATTATCAGTAAACGTTACATGGCTTTCATATGCAAAATATAAGATTTTTTCATTAAGTCTTAAGGTTTGTTAAGCTGTGTTTTTCTCATGCTTTATTTTTCTTTGCATGTTGCCTGTCCAACATGCAAAGTAATTTTCATTATAAGATTAAAAATTCTTTTATGCATCAGAAAATTTTTAAATTTCACATGCAAAATCTTTATAACATCCAGATAGCTACCAGATGTTTTTTAAGAAAAAACTTTATATTTTATCTTTTATGTTCACTAATGAATCTGTACGGGTTCGGTCGATTTGACTGATCTCGTAACCACCATAACAAATTAGGAAATATATATAGATTATGCCTTTTTCATTCTAGAATGACTACAGATAATAACACAAAAACACAAATATTTTGACTACATAGTTTAAATTTCATAACATTATACATTTATATATATTTATTATTTTTATTATATTGACTTTTCAGCCATGCTTGGCTAACAATGCAGAAGTTACAATGATGCAACTCACATGCAATCATGTTACTGTATCCAATAATATAAAAGTGGCCTTCAGTCTTTACAAAGTGACCTGTTTTGGCTGTGTTTTAGTGAACCAGTATTTTGTAAAATACAGTCACATTTCATATTTACATGCTTGGAATGGTCTATTCTTTCATTGGGGTGTGTGTCTGTGAG